TAATTTTATAAAACAATTACCAAATGGTTTTCCCATGCAGGATAGCATGATCCATGCACTTGGGATGTTGCTCGACTTTCGGAAAGCGTAAAAATACAGTCGCCTACGGCTCGTGTATTTTTACGCTTTCCGAAAGTCTTGCAACATCCCGCGTGCATGGATCACGCAATCCTGCACGGAAAACCATTCGGTATTCTTTTAATATTAAATGAGGTTAGGTTGGGGGATATGACTTTGTTATAACTGCATAATCAAAACAAGATTGTTATTATGGTTTAGTTTGAATGTTATTTTTATCTTTTTTCCCAAAGGATTTCATTTTGATTCCACCCTAATTCTCGAGCGACAAAATACAAGCCAAGAGGAAGTGAAGTTTTATGGTATGGTCTGCCTAGCTGGCAGGCAGTGCAAACGTTACCATAAATTTCCAATTTCAAAGGTATCTGAAAGGTTAGCAGTGCTCGATTTCGTACATTCAAACATTCTCTGCAGAGCTGCTAATTTAGAGTAATCTCTAATTGTAAACACTGATGAATGTGCAATCTAGCACCACCTCACACATCCTCATTTGATATCATTATTAATAAATAACATACCTGTTCGCCTTGGCCGCCGTTCCACTGAACACATACAACGTGGTATACCTCGTCACAAAGCAAATTTCCTCCCTGGGTTACAGCTACCTGACCAACCTGTAGTTTTCCTATCTTTGTACATTCAGCTTGTAGTGTCGGACCCGCTTCATTACTTAGAGCTTTGCCACACGGGTTGGAATCTAGCTGAAGATTTTCCCCTGTTGTGTTGACGAGGACTTCCGCCTATACAAAAAAAGATACATATACTTTATGTGATTGCTTTTATGTTTTATGAACAGTCTGGATGACCAGTGTTTGTGGATATACTAGTAGTGGATAACTATATTCTGTTGTTTTTTTAGTAAACAACATATTTTACTATCACTGTACAGTAATTAGGTAGAAATTATTTCACTTTGCACGATAATATGTAAAAGTCATAATACCAGACATACTAATAAACAGAAAGAATAATAGGCATCAGAATGCTTACGTTCTTACAAAATTTGTAATTTTATTGCATTGAATACAAATACTAATTAGCATACAGATACGATAGTACTTAGAAGTTACAACAACAAAGTAAGCAGCGTATTTTGTTAATGCTATATAGATTCCAAGTAGTTGTTCTCACGCAGCATCGATCAATTTCCGTGGTACCGATTGTTCGAAAGCTTATTCCCGGGTTAACTGGGACTGCTGTTTGGGATTAACTGCATTGAAATCAACCAATCACAGTCGAGTAATATTTTTATGTATATTATTATACATATAACCACGAATTTCGAAATATAAACTGTAGGGATGATATCTAATTTGTATTTTGTGATCTTTGAATTAATTAATATATCAAATTTTAAAATTTAATTCTTAAAAGATTTAGATCTGAAACGCGTCACAAAATGTCTTGAAATGTTCACTAAACTACTTTTGTTGATAATTTTCATTCTAATTTGACAATTTCAGTTAAATTTTGAAATTTGTTTGCCCTCATTTACATTTTAAACTGAACAGGGTAATTTAGGAAACTTGCAGCTTCATTGAAAAGAAAAGCAGTGCATATTTTACGCAAAAAATGAAAGCAACAAAATTCATCAACATTAAACATTCAAAGCAAACTTGCCCTATTTTTCACGATTACCCATGCATAAGTCAATTCTTCTTATTTCTTCAAATCAAAATTCCTTGAAAGCTCAATGTATAAAACGATGATATTGTTTTTCAAAATTGAAATCTTGCTTGTCCCACTTCTACCATATTTTAAGATCAGTGAGGATGACTACCTACGCACGATAAAACATAAGCATGCGCCGCGATTATTGATGAATTTTAGACTTTGTTAATGGCTTATTGCCTACCATTAAATATTTCATGTTTTCCCAAGAAAGCACTGTTCGCGGCGTAAGCCCGGGGCGAGGGCACTAATTTCGCTCGGCGCTGTAAGTCATTGGAGACATTAACAATATAAGGGTTTTATAGAAATATCTGTTAATTACCTTGTATGTCGACAAATCTCCAACAACTACTGAAATCTTCATGCCACCTTTAGTTGTGATAAAATCGCCGGGTTTTCTTCTTGGTAGAACTTCGGCTGTAACATCTTTTTCTTCTCGCTTGCTTTCTTTGGCCTGAGAGCGCGACACAGATGAACCAAATCTTCTTCCTGTAGTCATTCCTTGATTGTCCTTGAATGAGGAGCGTCCACCAAACCTTTCACGGAATTTTGTCGCAAATTCTTGACTTGTTGTATCGTCAATATTTACAAAGCGGATCTCTTTTAAGGCGCAATTGTCGTATTTCTTACCAAATTCCTCTGCAGTCTGGATCATGACATTGGCGCAAATATCTTTTGGAATACCGAAAATACCACTTCCAATTGAAGGAATTGCAATCGACCGATAATCCCTAGCTTCTTCAAGCGCTCTAGCGCAGGTAACACTTAATATCTTGCATATTTTCTCGCGTTTGCTATTGTTCCACCGAGGACCCACCGCATGGATAAGACGCTTGCACGGCAACTTTCCAGGACTTCCACTAAAACATTCACCATCGAAAAGCGATCCTTCTGCTTTTATGTAAGCGTCACACTCGTCTTGGATCTCATTACCTCCAGCAGCTAAAATACTTTTAGCCAATCCACCAACATGTTTCAAATCACCATTTGCTGCATTTACAATGACGTCACAACTATGCGCCGTTATATCATCTTTAAACACTTTCAAAGAGATCTTCTCTTGTGTTTCATAACTGCAGAGTAATTTCGAAGTTTGGTTAGATCTGGATGAAGGAATTATCGTAGATCTTTCTCCATCATCTTTTGTTAGTCGTAGTATGCATTTATGCTTTGATTCTATTCCACTCATGTATACTTTTCCTTCTTCAGATTCGAGATATTTCTGATTTCGTTGTTTGTCAACATTCATTTTACCTGTTGCTACACTTGATTTCATATCTTCCATACGTTTCTTCCCTTCTTTAACCCCTTCTTTTGTACCATGTATATCAATTGTTCCTTCATGTTCTACAAGAAGCAATCTAACAGAGTGTTGCTCTAATCTTGTTTCGATTTCTTCAAGATCTTTCGCACAGTACTCAGCTAAATATCCTACATATCCCTCTTCCCAATTGAGACTTTCCTTTACAATAGTATTGCGCTTCATGAAATCTTGTAGTGTTTCGTAGATTTCCTCTACCTCTGACTTTTTACCAACTAACGAAATTTTAGTTAAACTTTCTTCATCTGCATAGATCCTAACTGAGGTTTCCTTCGTTGCATTTTCACAGAATTCTTCCCATTTATTACTCTTAAGAAGGCTGAGGCTATCTTCATCAAGATCGTATTCTTTAATAAACATATTGTTGCTCAAGTACGAGTGAACATCTTTAATTGAAAATGTACCGTCATTAAAAACAAGTGCCTTAGCTTTGTTCCTTTTTGATTCATTCACAGAAACCATTCCTTTCAGTCCTATTGCTTTCATGCCGCTGTTTAATGCTTCAAGCCCTCCTGATTTGATAAAGCGTTTTTCAGTCGCATTAAAATCAATATTTTCGTCCATTATTTGAGCACATTTTTTATATGCCTCCTTAGTGGCCAACGAAACGTGTTCTTTAGGTCCTTTTATCGTAATGGTTTCTTTTCTTGGTTCAATTTTCACATCAACATGAAATTCATTCGCTAACATCTCGTCGACTCCATGAAACAAGAATAGTTCGAGTTTATATCCATTACGTATAGGCAACTGCTCGGTAACAACATCTAAACCCTTCTCCATTTCGACTATATCGTATTTAAGTTGCACGGATATTTCATTTACGTCTTTTTTCTTCCCTACAAGCTGTATTTGTAGCTGTTCCTCCTGCATTGCGATTGTGATGTTTTCTTTCTTAACCGCTGTTATCATTAATTTCAACTTTTCTTTCGAATTATCCAATAGTTTTTTGCAGAATTGTATCTCTTTGACAGTAAATTGTTCCATGTACTTTAGAACGTCTTTTGCCAATTCACTTGGTACCATCAACTCTTCTTTTTTTTCGTGAAAGACTTCCAAAATGTCATCGCCAAACCGATCACGAATTTCTTGCTTGCAACTTTTGATGGCATGATCCAAAACATCTGTACTTACCTTTATTATCTCGCTGCTTGTTTCTGTTATTTTTTCCATAAATTGGTAGTGTGGACGCACAGATAAAACAGATCCATTCAGTTTATGCTCTTTGGCGCTTGTGGTCTGGACAACTAAAAAGAAAAAAATATAGCCACGATTCAATACATAGAGGACACTCACATGCTGCATATATACAGACAAACGAATCAAGTATTAAGCATGCATAATATAAACTATAATTACAATTACAATTTTCTATCCACGCCAATGTCAGTCATTCCATAGCAAAGAGAAAGCACATAGCTGGCGAACTTTACCCTTAAAATTGACCGTAGCTCAAAACATGAATTTAGCAACCTATCTTTTAATTTCAAATATCAATAGACCAGTGATGTAGCTATACGATTTAAAATCAAGGCTTGCCAAAACAAGTACGATCGTAATACTGAGACCACTGATCTAAAAATAGTTAACCTGGATAGAATTTTTATCTCTACAGAAAATGAAGCCGTTTAGAAGTGATCACCATGGCTGCGATTACGAGCAGGGTAAATGAAACAATTTAAATTAAATATTTTTAATTTGCGGCAATGAGGACACGGAAAATGTTGTGTTGGTGGACTACAGACAATATACAGTGTTTAATAGATTATGACTTCATGTGAAACATAATGCTAACATGCATAGGCAGCTGAACATTAAGTACAGCAATATTACTTTAATCCAAATGTGCAGTATAAATTTAATGTTATCATGCATATGTCCCTTATACAGAGTGCATAAAAAAACATAAAAAATTTGAACATTCTTTTACACATTTTTCATTTCATAAATTTTTTGATAAATGTAGATTGTTTGGATACTTATAATGTATAATAAGCAAAACCTTTTCGTTTAAGGTGGTCTTATGAAAAATTCATTTTTTCAAAATAGCTAAATTTTAAATCTATGCTGTCTGCTCCATCATTGTAGCACATTATTTTCCTGCAATGAGTTGTGGAAGGTGGCTAAATGTCAAGAAAAAGGAACCTGTTCCTTTAATTGCCACTGAGCAACTGCCTTAGCAACGCTTTTGTTGTACAGAAATTCACGCAAATAGTCAGTTTAAGTCCACCAAATTTTTTGAATAATTTTGCTAACCCACTCCCCCTCAGTAGATTTGTATGTAGGAGCTTTTAACATATATTACAAGAAGTATACGCCCTTGAAATGCAAAGGGTAGTGGTCTTCCTTTCGGCTTCCATCTTGAATTTTGCGTGAAAGTTCTAATCAAATATGGTTGTTTAAGTTGCAAAAACCTCCATCTAAAAGCGAAAGTTTTGTGGAAATCATTCAAAACAGAAGCGTACCCGAGGGGTCCTCGTCAACAACATCAATCATTACATCAAGCGTTAAAAATCAGTCGACTGCCGAAAGTACATGTCAAACTTCAGTGTCAGCATCAGCAAGGAAAATTAATTTGGGTAACAAAGAGATGCCTGAGTTAAACACAAATGAAGTAAGTGGCTTCCGATTTATAAATCTTGAGACCATGGGAACTACTTTTAAACTATTACCCTGCAAAGAATGCTATGAGTGTCAGTTGATGCTCATTGAAGATGATTCTCAGCGTATTGGACGTGCATCATGTCTTTCAGTTTGGCGTAGCTCGTGTGGATAGTCTGAAGTTTTATATACCTCTCAAAAGCTTGGTCATTGTTTTGCCTATGCAATGAGGTTGCTTGGTTGTGTGTTATCAGCAATGGAGAAGTTTTGTTCTACCATTAACATACCACCGCCAGTTAACCCTAATGCTCTGGACTGCCATAACAAAGCTATATTACATGCTGTAAAAGATGTTGCATAAGAAACCATGAATGATGCAGTCCAAAAATCCGAAATTTGACGGAGATAGAATTCTGAAAACATCTTTTTCATGCGATGGTTTGTGACGAAGGAGGTCGCTGCATGGTTGTGTTACTAGCGACCTTAAGCATGTAGGACAGGAACGCGACGGCGACGGCAAACAAACTCGTTGAACCAAATGATTTCAGAAGAAAACACGTGGTTTATTATCCATCGTATAAAAATAATACAGTTTAAGGATCAAGGTTAAATGGTTTGATAGTTGAGAAAAGTTCTAGGACCCAATTTAAAATAGCAGTTGTCCCAGCTTGAAATGTATTCGTTGTACACAAGACGTGATAATCTGTATTTTGCCGTTGTAAAACAGAGCTACGGCGACGTCTAAAACGTCCGTGAGATTTTAATTATTAATTTCTGCTCATTTTCTTGCATTAATATGATATTATTAGCTGTTTTGGTTGCACTTTCATTCTGCTTTGTTGAAGTTCTTAATAACAGTAGTTCTTTATAATTATAAAAGTGTAAAATTTAAGGCTGTTTCTTGACACGTCCCCGTATTAGATTAAGCTTTGCTTAAGTTCGCTACTAGCGAACTGTTGTTTCCATGGGCACTGGCAACGTTCTTTACATTGAGCCCTTAAGCAAAATTTGTAATAAATGCAAGAAGCATGAGGAAAAGAATACAACAGAAAATGAACTTCGGAAATGAAACCAAGAGTCTTTAGTCACATAAGTGTATCTCGGGCAGATTGGAACAAAACTATTACAAAATAGAAAGCACTAGAATGTGTTGAAAACTGCTTAGAGGTTAAAATAATAAGTTAGCAGACAAGAACAAGGAGAAAGAATGTGAACCATATGCTGCTCGCTCTACTCTACTCTTTTCAAGAGGTTTTACTCCATTTTTTCATTGGCAATGCACTGTGGTTATTGTGAATAATTTGTTAAAAACTTTAAGCTTGATTTTCTCAAATTGACCTTTTTCGAGCAGCCAAAAACTCTCCTGACTTCAATATATATCCAATCAGTCTCAAACTTTCCGTAATATATCATTACTAATGAAGCCATTTTGTGAACCTAAAATATCTCATACGCGAAAAAAAATCACTATGTAAAGCCCTATTGTTTACCTTCAGTTATATGGATTTGAGAGTATTTTCATTAAATATTAATTTTAAAAAATTGGTATATGACCTTAGATGATAATTTTTAGGTTAAGAGCATAGATCCATTCATTGGACATCCAGAAAATGTGGTTTTAAATCTCTCTGAACTTTACTTTTAATGTAATCATTTTTGCCGCAACCACCTAATATTGCGCAATAAAATGGCATTGCATGGTTACCATGGCAACAACATATGTATAAGTGACTGATTCTGTGTCAGCTACTTATCCTTTACAACTTGAAACCTAAATATAGTGTAATACTCCAAATGATAAAAAAAATTCCAAGGTATAAGCCCACCTCCTTTAAAGGACTTCAACAATTTGTGACAGATTCTAGCCTCGGCCATATATCATGATAGTTACAACTCGGTAATGCACCTATCAATGTTAGGCCGGCGGGGGGGAGGGGGGGAGGCGGGGCAAGGGGGCGGGATTTGATGAGAAAGTTTAAACCGTGAGTGGGAAATTTGACGATCAGTACAGTCCCGGGGGCATGGGTATTTGACAAATTTTAAAAATTGTTGTCATTTGCATATATAATGAGCAGGGACACAGTGGGATCTCCGGAACATCTGGGATAGATTTTGCCCACCAAATCACGTGTCGTCAGTTCTGGTAAATGGCGGGGAATACTGAATCTGATATAAACTGTTGATTTTTCTCTTTTAATATTCATCACAAATGAAACTTTTTTGATCTTGTATTGCACTTCTCTTAAAGCAATAAAGATAATAGAATACTAACAATTATTTGTCAAGATGTGGATATTATGATATTAACCACTTTGTTTAAATTATTTCAAAAATTAAATTGTATTTATGTTTCATGTAATGTATTCAACATGAACAAGTGTTTTCCCTCCGATATACGGACAAGCAGGTTGAATATATGAGGCAATTGTCCATATTTAGAAATCATAGGAAAAATATTTCATGAATTGTTGGATATGCCTTCTCAAACAAATCCATACTTCAAAAGAAAATCTAGAATAAATTTTGGCGAAAAATGGCTGTAATCTTCCTATGATTTCAAAAAACAGACTTTATATATTTATGAATTATTCAGTTTGAGAAATCTCTTTGAAACAATTTTAATTGCTCCTGGGTATGATCAATTTGACCAGCACTTGAATCCCTGAGGTAGGGAATTTGACACAAAATTTTGTTTGAATGTCAAATCCCGCCCCCTTGCCCCGTCACCCCCCCCCCCGGCCTAACATTGATAGGTGCATAAGTTCTGCAGAGACTTTAATCGCCACAGAAACCTCTTAAGCCCGATTTATTCACCCACCATTGCTACTTCAATAGTGTAGTAATTGGGTAACTTACCAAACCATGTTACCATGGTAACCAAGTTTATGATCACGTGTCAGACCATATTTTTATTTTATTCCCTCAGCAACCTTTTTTAAGTTTTATTAGCGCTTTTGAACCTAAAGCAATTTTGGTAAGCAGCCTAACATTTGAGTTATTTTATACAATTCATGACTTCTTCAGTGAAAAATCGAGGAATTCAGGATGGCGGAATTCAAGACGGCGGAATTCAAGATGGCGGAATTCAAGATGGCGGAAATCAAGATGGCGATATTCAAAATGGCGGAATTCAAGATGGTGAAATTTAAGATGACGGAATTCAAGATGGCAGAATCATGACGTCATTAGATGACGTAATCTAGTTAAAAATCCAGGTGTTCAGTTTTAAAAGTGAAAAACATGCACAAAACACTTCATATCATCAATTGATGCAATAATTCAGCAAATAAAGGTTAATGATAATAATATCTGTGCATGTAATGATAATCACAAACTTTATCAACAAATCTTTGTATCCATCCCAAAATTCAGAATTAGTAATCACAAATTATTAATCGAATATGGTCGTTACCAAAATATACCTCGTGATGAAAGACATTGTAAAACCTGCGGCACTGGTGCGGTTGAAGACGAATTTCACTTTGCGTTCGAGTGTCCAAGTTATAGTAGCATTAGGAACAATGCAAACAATATACCGGGTGGCGCAAAAAAAAGTACAACTGTTTGATTACTTGTAACTCAGAAACAATAAGCAGTAGAACCATAAATCGAGTTTAATTGCATCCAGCGATATCTAACTTAAATTTTGGTATATTTGACAGGCATATTCGTCCA